CTATGCAAATACCGCCGTGCGCGGGGCGTGTCGGGAGCCCGGCGCGCCAGCCGCCGACAGCGGCAACTGCAGGCGCGGACCTGCGTTGAGAACATCAACAACAACCAGCATCTGTCGTTGGAACCGCGAAGCCAGGGGAGAGCGCGAACGCAGTCCCCCACTACCACAAATTATGCAGTCGAGTTTCCCGCATTTGGGGAAATCGCAGGGGTCAGCACACCCGGAGTGCAGGGGATGAGCCTCGCCCTGGGAAAACCACCTGCCTGATCATGGTGTCTCCCCTGCCAGGTAAGTATGCTTTGCTGCCCTCCCGCCCCGCTCCCCACGCTCCGCCACCGGCCCGCACCGCACGGCGACCCGCGCCCCAAACTACAGAGCTGCTCCGTCCCACTCCGACCCTCCAGTGTCCCAAACTGCAGCCCACGCGATAGCCACGAGTGTATACTCGTGTTTCGTTTCTGGTGCAGCACGATCCCGGCATGCCGCGCGCTCCGTTTCATTTCCATAGCTCCGCCCCCTTTCCACTCGATCCCGTCTCCGCTCACACGGCGTTACTATCCGCGCGCCCCTCTGGGCGGAGCACGATTTGCATAGCCCCGCCCCCGCCTCACCTCCGACCGCGGGCTCTCCTTTCGGTCCCCTCCGCTCCCGCACAGCCCGGGCGAGCCGAGGCGGGAGGACCGGGCTCTATGCAGCGAACCCACCATCCCCGCACCCACGCAGCCCAGCAGCAGAGCAGACACACAGCTTCACAACCGCACACTTTATTCATCCCGTTCCCCGCGGTCTGTTCTCATCCCACACCTCCTCTCCCGGTCGCGGTCACGGCCCCGCAGCGTGCCGGCGCTGGGTGCCCCATAGTGCGAGGCTGAGCGCTGCCGTCACCGTGCCCAGCACGCTGCAGAACAGCGGCACGGGGAAGGCGCCCTGTAAGGTGAGCGCGGTGAGGTCACTGCCCATTCTGAGCCATCCCCTGCACTCCCGGCCCCACGCACCCACCTGCCGCAGACACTTGTAGCCGTGGAAGGGACTGGCACAGAGGCACTGCGAGAGGCCGGGGCCGTCTGGGGCACAGGCGGCGTTCTCAGGGCACAGCGGGGCTGATGGGCAGCACGGGGGTCACGGGCTGTCCTGTCCGTGCCACGCCGTGCCCCCGTGCAGGGCCGCGGCTGGGGCAGAGAGAGCCCACCAACCTACCGAGCTCCTCAGAGCCGTTGCAGGGGTTCCTCTGGCCCCGGCACAGGCGGCTGCTGCCATACGTCGTCACGTCCTCCCACGCACCGCTGCCACCCGGGCACGGCACTGCCGGCGGCACCGCGCTGCAAACCAGAGCTCAGCACCTGGCACGGCCCCGGGGCTCCCCCAGCCAACCCCAATACTCACAGTTGCTGCAGCTGCGTGAAGCCCAAGAAGGAGCCAGCAGGGAGCGCCGGCAGCGGGTTCTCCGTCAGGTCCCTACCAACGCATCACACCGACTGCACCCCGGGGCCAGGAGTGACACCTCGGGGTGGGACGGGCAGCCGTGCCCCACCCGCACACCTCCCCCTTCCCTCAGCACTCACAGCACGACGGCAGCCGCAGCCTCGCTGAAGGCACTGGGGAGGGTCCGCAGGGAACAGTTGCTGAGGTCCAACCTGGGGGGCAGCACCGGGAGCCCCGTTTTCCCCTGTTCCGCTCCCGTACCCCGTCTCGTGACCCAGACCACACCACGCCCATCCCTGTGCCGTACCCAATCCCCACAGCGCGCCCACCCCACCCGTTACCCCACCTCCCCCTGTCCCTACACCCGTACCCCAGCAGCTGCTGCCGCCCGGATCCCCGCCCCACGCAGCAGCGGCCCCACAGCTCCGTGTCGGCCCTGGAGGCGCAGTACTGCGCCACGACGGAGCCGTTGCTCGGCGGCCCCGGACAGCTCCCGCACAGCGGCGTTGGGATTCCCCCGGCCGCGGGCGACGGCGGCAGCAGCAGCAGCAGCAGCAGCAGGATGGAGGCCACGGCCCCGCTTCCGGCAGCCCCGCCCCGCCCCGAGGCCGCCCCCGGATGGGCTCCTCCTGGCAGCGGGGCGGGGCGCGGCGGGGCGGAACGACCGCGCGGTGCGGCCAATGGCTCAGCCATTAACGGAGCGCAGCCGCCGGGCCCGCCGTGCTCCGCAAGTACCGAAGCGCGGCGACCCGACCCCGGCGGCACCACGTGACGCGTTCCACGCACGGGATTGGACGAAAGGACGCTGACGACATCGAGGCGCGCGGGGAGCCGGGTGGGAGGTGAGGTGAGGCGATGCTCGGCGGCGTGACGTCATCAGCGTGCGCCGCGACGCTGTCAGGCGCACGTGGGCTGAGCCGGGCAACCGCCCGGTGAGTGGCGGCGGTGGTGGCGAAGCGGAGCGGGGCTGTGCGCAGCACGCGGCTCCGGAGCACGGCGCGGGGGGCGTGCGCGGCCATAACGCTCCAGGGAACCGGGAGATCGGGAAACCGGGGCGCGGGCAGGGGATGAGGACCGGGCGGCGGGATAGGGGGCACGGCGGGGATCGGTGGGACCTTCAGGCTGCGGACAGCGGGGCGAAGGAGCAAGGAGGGGAGCGGGGCAGTGGCCTGGGGTCGCGGGAGCACCGGGACACGGGGAGCAGTGCCGGCACGTGGGAACACGGAGAGGCAGTGAGGGGACACGGGAACACAGCGGCACCGGGAGCGCAGTCATGGACTGGGGTCACGGGGGCACCGGGACACGGGGAGCCGTGCGGGGGACATGGGGACACCGGAGGGTAGTGCGGGGACACGGGGATACCGCGTGACGCTGCTGCCGGCACGGGACACGGGTGGGACCCAGAGCCCGGGGGGGCGGCGCACCGGGGGGGAATGCCGGGGCATTGGGCCAGAAATGCGGCGGGGGGGTGGGAGGGGGATCGCCCCGTGTTGTGTCTCTGCGCGGGGTGGGTGACCTTGGACCATGCCCGCTGTGCGGGCGGGGCGGGCAGCGCTGCCCTCTCGCCTCCTTTCAGCACCGCCAACCCCCGCTACTCGCTCCGGGCACGGCAGCGTGGGGCTAATCCAGCCGCATTCCTGCTGGGATCAGCGCCGCCCGCCCCGTCATCGCGCGGCCCCATCTGGGGGTGTGCTTGCCCAAGTGCGGGAAGAGCAGCGGGTTCGGCCCGCACGCAGCCCGCCCGTCTCACGCAAAGCCTGTCCGTCCGGATCCGGCCGCGCCGGTCTCGCCGGCTGCGGGGCCGGGGTCGGCGCCGGGCGGGGCTGCCGCGTTCGAGCCGCGGGGGAGCTGGGAGGGGAAGGCTGCGGTGACCCCCCCGGGTGCGTCCCCCCCCAGGTCCTTGAGGCGGGCCGAGAGCTCCGGAGCGAAGGTCCCCGCGAGGACGAGCGGGGCCGGATCCGCCGTCGCCACCTCCCGCAGCGCCGGGCGCTGCCGGCCAGGCCCCTCCGCCCATGAACCGGAAAAGTGGGGGTGGCGGCGGGGCGGCGGCGGACACTCGCCATGGAGTTCTCAACGGCGGACTACAGCATCTTCGTGCTGCTGCTGGTGCTGTCAGCGGCCATCGGGCTGTTCTATGCGCTGAGCGGCGGGCGGCAGCGCACGGTGCAGGAATTCCTGCTGGCCAACCGCAGCATGGGCTTTTTACCCGTTGCCCTGTCCCTGCTGGCCACCTTCCAATCTGCGGTGGCCATCCTGGGGGTGCCGGCAGAGATCTATCGCTTCGGCACCGAGTACTGGTTCCTGGGCTGCTCCTATTTCCTGGGGCTGCTCATCCCCGCGCACGTCTTCATCCCCGTCTTCTACCGCCTGCAGATCACCAGCACCTACGAGGTGAGCGGCAAAGGGGTCCCCTGCCCCTCCTTATCCCCTGCATCAGCTGCATCCCTGACCCCTTCCATTTCTTCCCTCTCCCTCTCCCTTCCAGTACTTGGAGCTGCGCTTCAACAAGACCGTGCGCATCTTCGGCACCATCACCTTCATCTTCCAGATGGTGAGGGCTGGGTTTGGGGTGCCGGGGATGGGGTACGCAGGGGGGCTTCAGCACTCTGTCCCCACAGGTCATCTACATGGGAGTGGTGCTCTACGCGCCCGCGCTGGCGCTCAATGCAGGTAAGGACTCAGTGGGGTGGCTAGGGGCCCCCATGGCACAGTGCCCATCATCCTCATCCCTCCTTAATGGCACCCAGTGACAGGCTTTGACCTCTGGAGCGCGGTGCTCACCATCGGGCTGGTCTGCACGTTGTACACTACACTGGTGAGTGCTGTCACCGTGCCACGTGGTGTGACCACCCCCCTAAAGGGGCAACGATGACAGCTGTGTCTTTCTGCAGGGAGGGCTGAAAGCCGTCATCTGGACTGACGTGTTCCAAACTCTGGTCATGTTTGCGGGGCAGCTGGCTGTCATCGTGGTGGGCGCACGGCGCGTGGGGGGCATGGCCCGCGTGTGGCACCTGGCTGAGCAGCAGGGCAAGATCTCCGGCATCGAGTGAGCCGCAGGGCTGGGACGGGGACAGCAGCAAAGCTGGGACACACACAAGGGAGGGGGATGGGATGCTGGCATGGCCGTGACTGTACCTGACCCCGCAGCCTGGACCCCGACCCCTACGTGCGGCACACCTTCTGGACGCTGGCTTTCGGGGGGGTCTTCATGATGCTGTCGCTGTACGGCGTGAACCAAGCGCAGGTGCAGCGCTACCTGAGCTCCCGCAGTGAGAGGCAGGCGGTGCTGTGAGTGGTGTGGGGACGTGCGGGGATCCCCCCCCCCCTTTCCTCTCTGCCCACTTCTGACGCTCCCGTGGCGCCCACAGCTCCTGCTACGCCGTCTTCCCCTGCCAGCAGATCGTTCTGTGCCTCAGCTGCCTCACCGGCCTCGTCATGTTTGTCTACGACCGCGAGCACCCACTGGTCCCCAGCGGCACCCACATCTCCTCCGACCAGGTGGGTGCAGTGCTCCCCCCCCCGCCACTCCCCCCTCCCTCCCAATGCCACGCTTACCCCGTGCCCCCCACAGCTGGTGCTGTACTTTGTGATGGATGTGCTGCGGGACCTGCCGGGGCTGCCTGGCCTCTTTGTCGCCTGTCTCTTCAGCGGCTCACTCAGGTGGGTGCCGTGACGGGGGACGGTGGGCTGAGGGCATGGCCGAGCCCCCCTGCTGCTCCCTTCCCTCTTCCTCCCCCCAGCACCATCTCCTCTGCCTTCAACTCGCTGGCGACGGTGACGATGGAGGACCTGGTGCGGCCGCACTGCCCTGGGCTATCAGAGTCCCGTGCCACGCTGATCTCCAAGTTCCTGGGTAAGCAGGAGGAATGGGGAGGGGGGGGGCAGCGGGGTCCTGGCAGGGCTCTGAACCCCCTCCATCAATCCATCCATCCATCCATCCATCCATCCATCCATCCATCCATCCATCCATCCTCAGCTTTCGGCTATGGGCTCCTGTGCCTGGGGATGGCCTACGTGTCTTCTATGCTGGGCCCTGTGCTGCAGGTAGGAGATGGGGTGCTGGGGACACCCCCGGCTTCGCAGTCCCTATTTTCCCCCCTCCGCCCCAAAACGGTGCCATCTTCCCGCAGGCGGCCATCAGTATCTTTGGCATGGTGGGGGGGCCGCTGCTGGGGCTCTTCTGCCTGGGGATGTTCTTCCCCTGTGCCAACTCCACGGTGAGTACCCCAGACCCCCTCCTCCCCCCACGGATACCCTGTCAGGTGCTGCCAGGGGGCTGAGTGCTTCTCCCTCCATAGGGCGCGGTGGTGGGGCTGCTGGCCGGGCTGGCCATGGCCTTCTGGGTGGGCATCGGCAGCCTGGTGGCCAACATGGGGGGGGCCGCCCCCCTGGCCAACAGCACCGTTCCCTCTCCAATCAACTGGACCACACCAGCCACGCTCGCCACTACACTGCTCACCTCCACGACACCCCCCCCGAGGTGAGCACCGTGGGGCTGATGGAGGTGGTCTGTGGGGGTCTGGCTCGGCCCCCCCCTCTCACCATCTCCCTTCCCTCCCAGCCCCACAGGCCTGCAGAAGTTTTACCGACTCTCCTACATGTGGTACAGCGCCCACAACTCCACCACCGTCATCGCGGTGGGGCTCCTGGTCAGCCTGCTCACTGGTGGGTGTAGGATGCGGGGGCCGGGTGCTGCTCTCCCCCCCCCCCCCCCCCCCCCCCCCCCCCCCCCCCCCCCCCCCCCCCCC